GTTGCAACGTGATCGCAAGATGCTTGAGCGTCCACAAAGAATGGCCACCAAGATGGTCAAAAGATTGCATACCTGACATATGAGGAGAGATAACGATCATTGGGACTATATTCTGCTCAGTACCACCGAACTCGGGGAGGATTGATTTTAACATATCAAATACTGCATAACCCAGACCATCCGTGTTGATCGCTGTTCATGTTATCGAACAATTTACACCTAAGGGGAGACCGTTTCAAGTTACTGATTCCAAAGTGTCGACTGGATTGACGGCGCCAGTCTTCTGCAGTCAGAGTATGCAGTTCTTGGAGCGCCCTTCAATCTCACGTCGTTTGTGCATCCACTATTGAATCCTTCGGGTAGAGACTGGACGAAACCTTGACACACCTCGCATTCGTACACAAAAAAAGCAAACGCAAATTCACTAAAGCCTACATTCTCTATTATCTCCTCCCCGGAACTCTATGTGACTCCTTTTTCGATGTGCAACGATTCATCTGTGTAAATATCCCATGGGACAAGAGAAGGACCAGCCTGTAGGTTATTCCCATAATAAAACTGACATTGACTTTAACCAGAATACAGGCACCACAAGTAAGTTTGATTGCACCGGAGATAATGTGATTGATTTGACTTTTGGCTAATGGCTTGCGTAAGATTTGCTAAAACTTAAATAGGAGACATTACGTGTGCCACAGAATAAGCTTTCCCAGTGAGTAGTGTATTTTGAGGTAGATAGAGATTAAGAGAAATTTAAGGGGCGGGGAATGAGACTGTGAGATGGAATGAAGCTATGCGTATTCTGATTAGGTCATGCATGTCATAAAGCTCTCTTTGGAGGACCCGAACAAAATATTGCTGCAACGTGATAAATCTAGATGATATGACTGAGTGCCTTAAACGTGGGTGCCCATGGATTATTCGCTTTATGGGCACATTTGCTTTGCTAGTATGTTATACATTTAACTTCNAATCATCACGTTTTTGCCTTACTCATGTTTCATGAGCTAAAGAAGAGTTGAAAATGCCCGAATCCTTGGTTAGTAGACAAATAGAATAGAACTTACTTAAAGGGTGCAGAAGCGCTTACTCATGCAAATGAACTGTCGCTTTTCTATGGCCTTTCGTCGGAGAGGTTAGGCAGGGAATCAAGTCACGCATGAAACGCATTGAAAGTGAACCTGACACGGAGTGTCAGGGCATGGTGTACTTGATAATTATTTTTCTGTGTCCTCATCCTGTTCACTATACTATGATGATTTTTCATCAACTTATTTGATGAGAAAAGCTGTCAACCACAATCAATATGCATAGATAAAAAAGCGTCTATCCAAAGGATAGTGAAACAGATTACATGAGGAAATAGAAACCATATTGGAGGGAACCGAAGTGGAATACGGACAATGTTAGTTGAACTGATTCAAAACAAAACGTCCGCTTGGAATGCGGTTATCCGGAAGAAGTGAGAGATGGGAGTACCGAAAAAAATGACGTAAACACATGAGAATTCATGGGACAAGTTTAAAATGACCATTCAAAATTGGAGTTGCATTGTTCATTTGTTTTTTTGTCGTCCCTTTGTTTGCATTTGATGTATCTTGAAAAGCGTTATCTGAAATGCATCTCCCGTGATTATGCATGATGTCTGTGAGCAGTAGGCTCTGATAAGCCGTCGTTAGACTCCTCAGTTTTTCCCAACAAACGTTTTAAAAGTAGAGTTCTCAGTTCTCTATAGATTAGATGGACCGAGAGATCTTTCAGACTGCTCGATAATTGGAACAAACGGAGAACATTTGGTGTCAGTTTCAAATTCTTGTCTAATTCCGGGGAACCGGTACACTGACTTCGACATCGCCGGTCTGATCGATTGGAAAGTGGTAATTCCAGCGCTCGACCAACTATTTTGTCTTCGCTCCGTTCACAACTGTCTGTAGTATCTGTTACTTCGGAACTGGAGGAATCGACGGAGCTAGTTTTTCTGTTACGCGTTTGCCTAACTTTTTCGCGATCGGTGTTGACCCATCGTGGATGATGATGAACCTGATGAAACGGATACTGTTTACGATGACATTGGTAGCGTATCTCATGAGGGTGATGATGCTGATGGCGCGCGTGATACTTATGCTTATAAGCAACACCTTTAATCTTGTTTCCATGTTCTGCATTGGAAGTGAGATTACGTACTGTCCGATAACATCTGCACTCCATGGAAGGTGTTCCACTGGAATCTCTCGTACTAGAGTTAATGGTTAGGGAAGTGCTTGGACGGGACTGATCGGTAATACAGACACTTACACTGACCTCGTCACTTTTATCTCCTCCGGATATCTTTTGTCTGGTGTTTTCTTTCTGGGTTCGAATTCGCAGACTCGACGAAGTGCTCGATGTAGTTCCAAAGGGGGAAGATACGGATTCTGGACTACCAAATGGAGCACCAGAATTGGTGTCTTCCTCGGACAGACTACTACGGATTGATTTAACTAGCATGCTTTGATCTGGTCCACCCGACCAACAAGGTTGTCGCTTTTGTTTGATTACAGTAGTATCTTGTACCTTGCGCGATTCAGATTTACGTTTACTCATTCGTTGCACCGCATAACGCAACATCAATTCAGCACTGGTACCATCAGACAAAATCACTTGTGCCTTGGCATTTCGTGTTCGAGGTTTGTTTGAAAGGAAAGGAATGTTTATTGATTGTCGTGATTTGGAATATTCACTTTCGTCCGGTGTTTGAGCGCCACGACTTTTCCCATTTGTCCCATTCAAATGGGCAGTGATCTCAGTATGATGAATCAAATGTGGTTCGTTGGGCATCGAACGGGTCTGATGAATGAATACTGTGGGATTAGACTGGACATCCAGATCCAGTTCGATGAGCTTTTTGTCGGTTCTTGAACCAGGTTCTAAATTGATATTTTCTGTCTCTAGAGTATATTCACTAGCATGCTTACTCAATGAGATTTTTGAAATTTTGAGCAGTCGAGAAGGTTTTTCTAAGCTCAGTGCTAACTTGTGCAAATTTCCCCCATCAGATGGTTCTACAAGATCACCCGCTGGTTTTTCCGGCATACCGATCAAACCAGGAACAGTGAGTTTGAGTGAATTTATTTGTTGTTTTGAACTAGACAGACGTCCTCCATCAGAGGGAAGAACCGGCCGAGCAGGTTGAAATACAGGTTCAGGTTGTAAATGCATGCGAAGATCGGTAATCTGATCACAGTCTAATATTTCTCCGTCCAATCTTGAATCTAAACCTCTCTCGTGAGGTGTATGTTGTGCTAACGAACGTAGCATTGTCGTCGATGATGCACTCAAAATACTTTCCTGATCCGAACTGTAAAGTCGTATACTCATTTCAGAATTAACACGCTCACCAACCATAGCAGTTAGCACAGTAGACTTTTTCGCACTGCTGCGATATTTACGGCTACGACGGGATCGTTTATTACCACTGTCCACCACACCACCACGAGATCCTCGAGGGCCTTTCACCTTCAAAGAATTTGCCTGTTGAAGGTCTGCGTCACGTTTTAGATTTCTAGATGTGCGACGCTGTACTTCATCAAACCGTGTGGACGGATCTTCTGAGTAGAGGGGTTCATGTGCATTGGACTTAGCCTTACCGGATGCGGGAATCAAAGGCTGTTCCGTTTCCAGTTGTGTTGATGTTGGGATTGTTTTTAGTTCGTCGTCAATAACTCCACTAGATTCTCTATAATTAACATCGAAACTTGATTTTCTCTTAGGTTGTTGTAATTCAGAAGATCGTGAGGATTGTAATCTTAGCTGATTATTGATGTAAGGTAGTCTATCTTGATTTGGCTGTTCAGAAACTGGCTGTGATAGTTTCACCTGAGAATCATCGGGGGATTTGAGAGAAGCAACTTGTTGACAAGACCGCCGTGAGTTGCTAGTATAATGTTTTCTTTCTGTGGTATTCATTTCTGAATTCTGTGTTTTACCAACCTCCCGTGGTTCCTTGATGATTGGTAATGATATTTTACGTGACTGAGTAGAGATTTTCGGTTTTTCCAACTCTTGCGACGAAGTAATAACGGAGTCTTTTTTCACTGTTTGGTTTGCAGGGAAATGATCTTCTCCATGTGGGCGAGACAAGCTTGATTGCGTTATCGGCTTCCGAACCGAGGATTCTCGTTTTGCTTCAAGAGAAAGGCTGTTCAAGTCAGAATATGCAATTTTGGCTATGTCATTCAAATTCTTTGGTAGTTTCGCTTCTAATTGTGCTATCTGCCCGCGCTGTATGTGTGATGTTTTCAAATCGCGCTCCAAACTTGTACGGGATGAATGGCGACATCGATTTGACCCAACTGGACCACTAGAAGGTCTCATTTTATGGTTTACAGAGGAAAGTTGTTCGGTTTTA